AACTGATAATATTATATTCTGCCTTTAGTAATGAATTGATTGGGCGGTGATATTATTAGGTGAAGCTGGAAAATATTTCAATTAATTTGTTAAATTTCCATTTCTAATAAAACATTCAGTATTATCAATTTGATTTAACTCATCAAAATATTAATTACAGCAATAATACATCCATTGCTTACTGTTGCATTAATTTGGTAGCTTGTTGCTCATATTTTATGAGAATTAATCAATCATCTACTGATTAACTAATCAGCATCCGAAACGAAGGTAGGCTGATATTATCAGATTAAATGGTTATATAAGAAAACATCTAACGTCCAATTGTAATCACAACCGGAAAAGTTTGCTATTTATGATAATCGGGTTACAGCAATATTACCATATAATAAAAAAGTGAATTTAATGTTTTACGTGCAATTTTCATGATAGCATGCTGAAAGTATCGTCAGTAAAATAATGGTACAGCTATGATAACAGTTAATGATAGTGCAGATGTGATAGCAAGCTAATGATAATGTAGATATTACAATAGCATAATGAATATATGATAGAGCCAAAAATTATAAACTAATTAAGAAATTTTAAACGATATTTGTAAACTATTTATATAGTATTATTTACGAATATAAATAAGCTAGTATTATATATAGATATATGCATTGTAATAGATGAATAATGATTAGGCACGTTTGAATAATCAACAATTGTGATAAACTAACTAAAAATTACATCCTTCAATGATAATGATATCTATTATTAGAGGAAAAAAAATTGTGACGGAAATAGATGGATATATTCAAATTGAAAACCGATCGAATTTCTTTTCATATTGTTCATGATCACTTCATAAATCGGTATTATCACAGTTTCTATTACTCTTTTCTTTAAATAATTTGTAGGAAGATTCACGTACTTATGCAAAATGTTACTAAATGAATAATAATGTTAATAAATTTGGAATGCACGATTGCATTCCGGAATATAGGACTGATGGTTTATCCAACTCATTTGCCGAGAAAGACTCCTTTTTGAACTGATGAGTTGATTAATTTAGGTACCAAAATATTTATTTGTTAAATTTTATGTAACAAATCATATACTTGAGAAATTTACGAATTTTGATTAAAACCACTCATAACACTTTTTTTTTGATTTCGCTGATAGAAGGTGATGGTTATGTTTGCGATATTTGAAAAAGCATGATCCACAATGTGTTTGGTGTGGTACAAACTTATTATCAAATCTAATTAATTATGATCTAATTGATCGGGCGGGATGGCTGATATAGCTCTAATCGACAACAATCCAGAATAACAAATTAATTCCTTGCTAACGGATTCACTAATGACATCAGATTTGTATAAGCAAGATTTAAAAGCAATTCTTTATCATTATAACAGACAAATTACTTCATCAAAGCATTTATCAAAACTGGTTAAAGATATTTTTGATATTTCTGAAATTCTGCCAAGAAGTGCAAGCATTTGTCGAATGTACCCAAAAAGCTCCAATGGAAAATTTTTTTTATATATTCTTTTTATATAAAATCCTTAGATAATTCTTACAAGGCAAAAAAAAAGCTAATTCTTATGACCAAGCTTTTTTTTCTTTTTTTCTTGCTATAAAACTTATATACGGAGAAATGAGATAAATAGTATACTGCAAGCAGACAGTTTTCATTGATGGCAAAATATTTTGAAGTCGTCGAGGAAGTTGCCATCGTCGGCGATGCTAACATTCGAAGATATTATCATCGAAGTCGTCGATGTTAATATCTTCGATATTAACAACAACATCGTCGGGGATGTTAAGATAATCGAAGAGGTCGCCATCAGGATCGTCCAAGATGTCAAATTTTTCTGAGAGATACTCATCATTCGAGCGATCTTGCTGAGTTACTGAACTTTGACCGGCAGTGTGATGGTTTCGAGTGTCAGCCAAAGTACGTCCCAACTGCGGAGTTCCTTCCGCTGAATCTACAATGAACGTTTCTTAGATATAACTTCATTGAGTCAAACGATGTGAAAAATTTGTTCCACTCCATGGTCATAGATATTCCGCAACTTATTTTCAAGCGCATTCATTTCAAATAGGCAAATAAATGCTAAAAACTCTGCCGAATTTGCAAAACTGAGAAACTCTGTAGGATTTTCAGTGATTTCTTGGAACTGAAGAAGCTTCCACTCTGAGGTTTGTGTTGACAGGATTTCCTGTGTGCGCACAATGATGATGATCTGTAGCATTCATTACCGCAACCGGGATGTTTGTATTGATAGCGAAATGGTTTATTGTGCGTTTGGAAATGTTTGTCACATTTGCCTATGGTCGTCTGCCCGATTGTAAAAACCGAACTATCTCGGGATTTTGTTCAAACGTAGCTTTAATTTCGGTAATCAGACAGAAAATTTGCATTATAATTTTCGGAGTTTTCCGACATTAATTAGTAAAATTGAACAATCGTTTATGCTTCAGAGGAATTGCAAGAATTTATAAAGCTAACAAGAGTGCTAGAATAGTTGTCAAGTAAAGTTCTCGAATGTTACATTATAGAACTGATACTATTGAAATTTCGACCACTCGAATATATACATCCTTTTGCACATCTTGATTAAAGATGAATGGAAAAATTCTCAAACAATAAAAATTAATCTACCTTGAAGGATGCACATGAATGATTTAAACTGTTGAAGATAATGCTAAAGTTCAAAAAAGAAAAAGAAAAACGAATTCAAAAAAAAAATGTGACGGAAGTAGACGGATATATTCGGATTGAAAACCAATGGAATTTCTTTTCACATTGTTCCTTATCATTTCATAAATCGGTATTAACATAATTTCTGTTATTCTTTTCTTTAAATATGCTGTGAGACAACTTATGAATTATGTGAAATGTTACTAAATGAATAATAATATTAGTAAATTTTGATCTCAGTGCTGCACTCCGGAATATAGGATTGTTGGTTTATTTAACCCAAAATTAAAAATCATTATCTAATTGATTGGGCGGAATGGCTGATGTAGCTCTAACCGACAACAATCCAGAATGACAAATTAATTCCTTGATAACAGATTCACTAATGACATCAGATTTGTATAAGCATGGTTTAAAAGCAATTCTTTATCATTATAATAGACAAATTACTTCATCAAAGCATTTATCAAAACTGGTTAAAGATATTTTTGATATTTCTGAAATTCTGCCAAGAAGTGCAAGCATTCGTCGAATGTACCCAAAGCTCCAGTGGGAAATTTTTTTTATATATTCTTTTCATATAAAATCCTTAGATAATTCTTACAAGGCAAAAAAAAAGCTAATTCTTATGACCAAGCTTTTTTTCTTTTTTCTATAAAACTTATATACGGAGAGCTATAAAACTTATATACGGAGAGAAGAGATAAATAATATACTGCAAGCAGACAGTTTTCATTGATGGCAAAATATTTTGAAGTCGTCGAGGAAGTTGCCATCGTCGGCGATGCTAACATTCGAAGATATTACCATTAGAGTTGTCGATGTTAATATCGAAGATATTAACAACAACATCGTCGGGGATGTTAAGATAGTTGAAGATGTCAGCATCGGGATCGTCCAAGATGTTAAATTTTTCTAAGGGATACTCATCATTCGACCCATCTTGTTGACTTACTGAACTTTGACCGGCAGTGTGATGGTTTCCTGTGTTTGCCAAAGTATGTTCCAATTGTGAATTTCCTTCTCTTGTGTCTAGAATGAACATTGCTTAGGTATCACTTCATTGTTCACTCATTTCAGGTAGATAAATAAATGCTAAAAACTCTGCTAAATTTGCAAAACTGAGAAGCTCTGAAGGACTTTTCAGTGATTTCTTATTGATGAGGAAAAGAATACAATAGAAAATTCGTTCCATTATTATGATGACGTTATTATCATCATTGTTAACGTCGGAAAAACCCCGAAAATCCTAATGCAAATTTTCTGTCGGATTACCGAAATTTAAAGCTAGTATCGGAAAAAACTGAAGGAAATTGTAATACGTCCAAATAGCTAAAGAATTTGTTGTAAACAATTTGTTGTATAAATTGGTAAATAATTTCTTCTATGTTAGAGGTCAATTTGTTGTCTAAGGTCAATCGGTAAAAATATCTTTTTCATTGATGTTCAGATGATTTATGGCGATTTTCCTTCTTACAAAGAAGTCTAATCTTCTATGTAAGCAACTCTTGTATGAGTAAAATTATTGCCAGCATTGTAAGTACCTTAGATGGAGCTTACTTCGCTTATCCTCCACGTATAAACTACAAGCGACGACATTTTCGCCATTGGACAACAAACTACAATATTCTTCTATTCACCAAATACATTTCCCGTAACGTGTTCCCAACTCAACGGCCTATTAACTAACCGACAATCAAATTATTGTCCAAGGTAACGACAAGGAGTTTGTTAGTTGATCATATTAATTACTTGCTTTTTGTACAACTCATTTATCATTGCTTACCAATTCATAGTGTTATATACATACATATTTTATACTCTTTTTCCTGTTGTTAACTAGTAATATTGTAAGAACAATATTACCTCCGGAATAAATCTGTATCGTCGAGTAACGAGTTCAACAAAGAAAAGAAAAACAAATTTCCCAACAGTCAACACCATTTAAATTCATTGGGCTATAAGGACGCTAATTGCTCGGATTCTGTCACTCCGCTCATTGTCATATCAGTAACTGCCAAACATCCACTGCGATAAACGACAAGCAGCTATCTACTGAGGTTAGAAGTGGTCAGAAAAACATTGCAGTAAGTTGAATTGTACTTCACTGCTGTTAATGTATTACAACTCATTTTTATGTGAACATAGACGTTGAAAACCTCTTCTGCTAAACATGAACTTTGCAAAACTAACCTCTAACTCCGTGGCATTGTTTCTTGTGCCTTCGTAGTCCTTTCTTATAAGAAAAGAAAGAGCCACAGATTTCACATAGAAGTTTAGATTGATGTTTCTCGTAATGCTGTCGAAGTGATTTTAGGGTACGCCATTTCTTTCCACATGTGGACCAAGTACACTTATACAAACCTTGTTCCTTGTGGGTTTCGAGATGTTTTGAATATTCCTTTCCCATCTGTATCGTTGCAGTACAATAACGACATTTACGCTTTCGCTCAACTGAAAAACTGTTACGACGTTTGTGTTTAAAAAAATCATTTTACACGCTAATTAATGAATATAATTTGAAAAATGCTGTATTAGCATCAATGACCTATTAAATCACTTTTAAGGTAGCTTAAATTACGAATTGTTCACTTTTTTACTGCATGTTTTTTTAAAACGTTATGTTGTTAATGGAAGTGACTCCACGGTCACAGATATTTCATAACATATTTTCACGGGTTTTCATTTGAAGTATATAGGTAAATGCAAAAACCGTGGTGAATTTGCAAAACTGAGAGGCTTTACGGGAATATTTATTGTCTTCTCAGTGATTCCAAAAAATTGAGGAACTTTTTACTCTGAGGTTTGTATTGACAGGATTCTTTGTGTTTGGAAAATGATGATGGATAACAGAATTCTTTTCTGCAACCGGGAGGTTTGCACTGATAACGAAATGGTTTATCGTGCGTTTGGAAATGTTTGTTATATTCGTCTTTGCCTTGTATGGTCGCATTACAGTCGATATGTGGACAGTCATACTTTTTCACGCCTGAAAAACAACTGTTATGACATTTGTGCCTATAATTTATTTTGCAATCACTGCATTTGGTAATTAACTGACTCAATTAGGAAACTGACCATGAAGATATTAGTGCCATAAAACAATCTTCACATTCCAATTAATTTAGAATACGTGAAATACGCGATAGTATTCAATTTTTTTACATACATTTGCGACAGAAATTGCATTTTTTTTTGCATTTTCAACTTCGCGGAATGGAGTGAAAGCAGTAAAGTAAAAAGGAATAAAACGATATATCATTATATAATTCTTTACTACTAATAATTGTCCACTAATTGTAATTGTCCTTAACATCCAGTAGTTGTCCACTAGTATTTCCCACTCACTGTTATGTGCAACTGTATCGGAAACAATTAGTACTAAATCGTCCAAATTGTCGTGAATGTTAAGGTTTTCTGAGAAATACTCTTTGCTCTGAGTGACTTTGTTGGCTTAATGAATTTTGTGATCGTTTCATGTGTTAGCAAAGTATACTCCGTGGCATCGTTTCTTGTGCTCTCCAAGTCCTTTCTTATAAGAAAGGAAAGAGCCACAGATTTCACACAGAAGTTTAGGTTGATGGTTCTCGTAATGCTGTTGAAGTCCCTTTGAGGTAGGGAATTTCATTCCACATGTGGGCAAAGTACACTTGTATAAACCTTGTTCCTTGTGCGTTTCAAGATGTTCTAAATATTCCTTATGCGTCAGCGTAGTCGCATTGCAATAACGACATTCATGCTTCTGTTTGACTAAAAAACTGATATGATTTTTTGTGTTTACAAATACCATATTATATGTTAATAATGAAACTGCTGATCTAACTGCGGATCTTCCGTTGAGCCTGGAATGAGCATTTCTTACCTGGACTATTTTGAACTGAAACGATGTATAGCAGAAGATTGAACCAAATAATGTATGCCATCGATATAGTGAAGAACAACGCGTAGTACAGAATTTTTGAAATGACAGAATGCTCGTATGGAAGCTTTTTATTTCAGATTGGTTGGAATTAAACGACCAAAGGTTCAAACAGTTTTCAATTCGTGCGATTCAAATTATTTTTTTATATTTCTCTCCTTTGAATTCTCATTTTCCGATCCCTGAACTGGCGGTTGGTGAATGTGCTTCGGGATTACTAGAAATATTGATAGCTTGAAAGCTTCCATGACAGAGGAAATGTAAGGATTTGCATAAATTAAAATTGGCGGATTGTTGGTAATAAATGTTACTGGTTAAAGGAATATTTAATCCGTACGGTGTTGAATAACTCTATCTGCATTTTGTGACAATCTTATGGAAATTTTCGGTTTTAATCCGTACGGTATTGAATAACTCTGTTTGCATTATATGGCACTGTTATGGAAATATTCACTTGCAAAAAACGGTGCTTGCAAGAGAGGAAAAAATGTAAATCATCTTGTAATGAATTGGATATCATGTGTCACTGATTATAATTAAATAATAGACAATAAATAATAGAAGATCCAATATTTGAAGTGTCGGTCTTTTGAAACTAAACTTTGGAAAGAAAAATGTTAACTTAGTTTCTACCTGTTCAGAAATGTGGTCAAATATTACTACTGCTGATGTTTCTCGCTGCTGTCATCGTAAGCTTGTTTTATTTACTCATAATTACAAACGAATATTAGACATTCCCGTTCCTTTTTCTTTATACATAAAGTAGCCAAGGTACAATAAAGTACTGATATCATTATTGTAGTTTAACCGCATTGGCATGTCAGCGCAAACTACTCGGTATAAAGGAGAGTCTTCTGATAACTCGTATTCCGGAACCACTCAGTAATGCCTGAAATGTCTGAAACCATTTTACATGACATCAACTACTAAATATTATTGAAGAGGAGTGAATGAATTTCAAAAATATTGACCTATATTTCATACTTCAATCTGTTGCTGGAGCACTTTTTTGCATAAACACGACTTGTATGTAAGAGACAGTAGCAGAATAACAAACTGTTGCAAAGTTTAAATATTCAAAAAGAAAAGAAAATGTAATGAGATGGAAATCAAACAACAAAGGAAACTTTTTACAACATTAATATTAAACACTGTTTCAATGCAAAAAAATTTCAATACAATAATTGCCGACTAAATTCTAAGTTTTTAACTGTTTTTTAATTCTGAATATCAAATAAGTTTATTTGCCTGATCAGGTCGCATTTTTCCAGTAACAATTTTCATAAAATCAGAATCTTTCATTGTCATTTCGACATCTACATTACCTTCACCCGTTTCGACAATAACCGGTGGTGTCACCTAACAATTAAAAAGAATGCATTCAAAGATAAGATGATCTCAAATAGAGGATTTTATCATTGTTTTGATTTTTACGAAATTTTAAAATATCCATTCCAGTTCATGTAAGATGAATAAGAAATGAAAGAGTATAATGCTGAGAAGCATAGCTTGAAATCAACAATCCATTTCTTGATGACGTTATCTGGTCCGATCAAAACAAATCTAAATAACCCACTTTGCATCATAGGCATTGTCACCTTTATTGTATCATTTTGTCAAGTTGTATATCTTGTCTTGATAAA